CGTTTGTTTGCTTCGCATTGTTATCGCCGTTCGGTGATTAGGATGGCCGCCAACGCTACGAGAAATGTATCGATAACGGTCTCGAGGGCCCACCGCCTTCGAGGGCGCATTTTTAATTTCCCAAATAGACGCTCACATCCCCAACAAAGAGTGCCCCCCGGATCCGTTAAAAGTTTCTCGCGAGAAAATACGTCAACGCGAAGAAAAGAATGGCTAGGGAGAGGCGCCTCTTCCTTTGTGATACAGGTAATGAAAGAAAAAATCGCCCAGGTCATCCTGGAGCGAGCAGCTTTCATATAAGCTTATTCATTTAGCCTTCCCTTACCTTTGGCCGTTTCATAAAAATGATGCGGCTTCTCCGTTTTGCGCATTAGAAAAAGACTCTTATTTAATTATTAAAATTCTAAATACCCCTTTGTGCGGACAAACGATGCTCCGGCGAGCCTTATACATAAAGGGGAGCAGAGAAAAAAAACAAGGAGAATGTACTTGTTACGTTTTTTATATAAAAGTAAAGTAAAATAAATCAATTTTAATATCATCGTCTTTAATTGAAGCGCTTGTGCTCTAATTAATTTTATATCTAATTTCTATACAAACTGAGGACCATAGAGATAATTTTATGTTTTTTTCTATAAACATTTACAATCTTTTTAATCCACAAAAAATCCTCCATTGTCTTACAATAGCTCTGAAAGAGTGGAAAACCTTTTGAAAGCGTTCCTCATTTGATTGTACTTTGGTGGAACAAAATTATTTCTTAAAAAATTAGAAATATTTTATAGCGTTAATGTGATTTCGTCGCATAAAATTTTTGTCTGGAAGTTTTTATGGCGTCGTCGAATTTAATTTTTTGAAGTCAGTTCGGACTTTCTTTAAGTTAAACAAGACAACGTGTCTTGTGTATATTTCGCACTAGCATAGTGTTATAAACTTCACTGGTATTCCTTAATCAGCTCGTCGCTGCAACCATGAGGAAAGCTCATCGCATTAGGTTGTTTTGTATATATTCATTAATTAATTTAAATTAATATATTATGTTAAACGAGATGTAATCCTTGGAAATAGTGCAGTCTCGAACACATATGTTTAGGCGATCACTTGCAACTGTGTTTTGGGTTAGAACCCACAGAAACCATTGCTTTATGCGGTAAGTAAAGTAACAGCCTATAAATGTCCCACTGCTGGGCAAAGGCCTCCTCTATACAGAGGGTATCAGGGCATAGTCCTACACGCGGCCCCACTGCGGATTGGCGGACTTCACATATCTTCGAAATATATAATATATTTTTTTGTTATATACATATATATAATGGTTGCAATTGATTTCTTATTTTGCGAATTTCACGCGAATTTTGTACATGAAATTTATTAAATCAAAACGCATTAAATGAGTAAAATAGTTTAATTTAACCATATTTGCAATTGTTAATAGAATTCGGAAATCCGTAGTAATTTAAACCAACTGGCAACAGCTTAGGTGGAATGGCAAAAAACTACAATCCCGTCCGTCAGTCAGGCGTCAATTGCGTTTGAAATACCCATCGCTACATTTAATAGTTTCTCAGAACTTTCTCGAATTTGATCTTTCATTTCAAATAATGAAATGGTATTCAATTCGCATGCTGTCTGAATGGTATTTTCTTAATTTAAATGTTCTGTATTTTTTAAATAACTAAAAGCCCGCGTTCGAGTTTAAGTAATAAGAATCTCAATTTTATTACATGTGAGATAGTCAAATTGTCAGACTATTCGTACCGTAGGCATTAATTTTCTCATGACAATAAAGTATGATCACTGTGATATCAATGAGCCCTTTCTTAACTAAAATGCCGGCAACACATTAATAACTTTTGTGTTACTTGAGCGCGCAAGTACGCAAGCACATGATCACTTTCCATTAAGACTGCAATATATGGTAAAGAACACAAATGTTAAATAAATTGACTCGAAATGTTTAATAATTTCCGTCAACGTCAACCAATTATAGATTGACCGCCAAAGGATTAAGTGCAGTGGAAATAGAAGAAAGATGTTCAATTGTTTTAAAACTAATCCTTTAACTTATTTTATTATAAAAGCATGTAATCCTTGGAGAAAGTGCAGTGTCGAACACATATGTTTAGGCGATCACTGGCAACTGTGTTGTAGGTTAGAACCCACAGAAATCATTGCGTTACGCGGGAGTGGTTTTGAAAAAGGAATAGTATAATCATATAAATCGTTCTTGATTATTTATCAAACCACCAACTTGTAAGTTATCCATGCCAATGCATTAGTGTATGGATAAGTGATAATATGTTGTCACTTGTCCAAATGGGTATAGCAAGAACAAACATTTCAAAGAAGATATAAGCAGTCGATCGAGTACCTATTTTTTTTGCCTACATCTATACATATACTTAGACGAGTTCATAAGTTTTCTTGTCACCAATAAAACGTATATTATATGAATCTTTAAAAAAAAACATTGCCCTTACTTTTGGATAACATTATCCTGTGTTATAAGGACGTATCACAAACATAAATTTTACGTGGGCAAACACCGAGATGCGAAAAACTATCTGTGGCTCGCACAAATAGTTGTCCCATGCGGAAATCGAACCCATGACCCCCGACGCCGCAGCCAATACCTTGGCAACTGCGCCGCGGAGTCACAAGGAGTATGTATCTAACACGCATTTAATTCGATTTCCTTTTAATCATGACATATTAACACGTAAACGACTTTAATATAGAATTTTATCTGATCGTTTTACGGCAAATAGATTCGGCAATTGCCGTATAGCGGTCTAAACGAGCACCGGCATCCCGCCGCGCTAACTTATTTGCACTAATGCACTTACGCCGCGATAAATCCAAAAGCGACCCAATTCTTTAAAGGCGAGGCCTCTCCATACGCGCGGGCGTGAGTTTTCCCCTCACGTGCGGCGATTTGTTGCGCGCACTTAAATCACATCGCGACTCAGAATAACCCGCGGAGCCCGGTACACGTCTAACGGCCGACTTTTAATGGCCGTATTGGAATAAGGAAGGCAATAACGGCCTCGATATTGAAACTATGCTCAGTTCGAATCGTATTAGTCGCTACGTTTCGGATATTTCCGTATATTATCCGAATTTTTCAGATGTCGAGATCGGGTGTTTCGCGTATGTTCGAATGTTTACGGGTCGTTCGGCGTTATGTTACGTTACTCGTGAAGTTACGTTTTATATCGGTGCATTGGGTTAAAATTCTACCATTTATTGTTTTACAAATCGTATATTATCTTGGCAAATTACTAAAGTTGATAAAAAGTGTAATGCAACAACGTACACGAGTCTCATTTTTATGTCTTCAATTGTTACTAGATATTAATTGGTAGAAATATTAATATTTTATATTTAATCTATTGTAGGATAATCCCACCATCTTAAAGTTACTGTTGTTTGTTATTAAACGCACCCTCAACCAGTACTAGTTTGCAAATGTCTAAGGGATATTTTGTAAAAAATAGGACTTACAGAGAATTGTGAGGTAACTCTTTTAAAGTTTAGGTGAAGGTAATCACTTAACAGCCTACTCGCTTACCAACGTTTGACATATGTTATGTACTATATTGTGTATAATCTTATCTTAACCAAAAAAAGTATCACCGTATACATGTCCCACTGCTCGGCAAAGGCCTCCTATGTACAGAAGGTATCAGGGCATAATAGTCCACCACGCGGCCCCACTGCGGATTGGCGGACTTCACATATCTTCGAAATGTTTCTTTTTGTTATTATTTCGAAAATATGCAGGTTTCCCCACGAAGTTTTCCTTCGCCGCTGACCACGTGATAATTCGGCACTTAAAATTAACAATTTCATTGGTGCCGGCACCGGGAATCGAACTCAGGTTGCTCGAGTATATTGAATTGAGGCGAGCGCCCGGAAACTGAGCTATCACGGCTCTTTAACCAAAAAAAAAATAGAAAATCGAATTACTTATTCAATTCAGGCCTTGAATCCGCCCGTTGGGTACACAAACTAGATCGGCGGATGTAGCTTTCATGACATATCATTGCTCTCCGAGTTTTGACTAATCGGGCTTATTTTCCATCGGTTTTATAACTCCGTGCGACAGCTCTGAATTTCGGGCGACATATTATAAGGAATTATCTAGGTCGGCCCGTCATCATTCTTGTGCTGCCTGTCAGCCGCAGCCCCACATCACCTGCGCTTAATTCCTAATTTAATATATAACCAGCGGGATTAGCACTGATAACGGTATAATAGTGTCAACCTCCATTCGCGCACATTTTGGGAGACGGCACGCGTCGAGACTTGTGTTATTGTTTATTTTCTCGGAAACAGCCAATTCATTATACGTCCGATCGCTGGGCCCAATCCCCCAAAAGTATAAGAGCTATCAAACGGCCATACTGCAGATTGGCCGACTTAACTTTTCTCCTAAATATGTTTTTATTAATATTTCGATATGCAGTCACCTCTCATTAACCTTTGTCGAAATATACATGACAAATATATTTTATTCAAGACCCAACTTTTCCCATATTCATTAGTGTATTCCTTCAATTAGTATCGTATTACATATGATTACAGACTGTTAAAGGGGTTAATACACTATGCGTTAATTATTTTCTTAATCAAACTTTAAATTAAATCAATATAGTTATTTTTCTATTATGGACGGATGCTTAAAATTTTGGGTTTGGGAATTTTGATGACATTTACTTAGATCAAAAAACTTTAAAAAATCCAGGCTATGTTTGGATATTAACTAAGATCGAGTATTTGACGTCATTGCTCTATTTTATCCTTATTTAATATTATAAACGCAAAGTTTGTATGTAAGGATGGATGTTAGTACGAAAGAGTAACTCTTTCGTACTGTACTTAACGGCCACCCATTGACGTTTTAACAAAATTGTTTTTCTAGGCGCGTGCGGAATTCACCTACGAAGTATTCCAATGCGGCTAAGCTTGATACTGGTTTCTCCCCTCGTCCTATACACATGATCGCCCCGCCGCCGACCTCACCCGCGGTCGGTCGTAACTCAAGGAACAATGGAAGCACGGCCGCGTACAGAAATAGCCGCGGAAAGCAAACAGCGTGGCCCGAGCCGGTCTGCGAACGGTGAGAAGCGCTCTCGAGCAATTACAACGGGGCCTGTGAAATCTCCGAGCACGTTCCCTAAGTGCACCAATGGCTCATTGCGGGTGTTTTGTCGTTAGATATAATTGTTAAGAATGAATCGTATGGAAAAGTTTTTAAGCAGATTATCTAGCGGTGAAAAAGGTCGTTAACCTCGTGATAACAAGTAGTCTGTGGACACATTTTGGACAATTTTTTAGAACAAGTATATAACGCAAAGATTTGCTCTGCCTTGTTTAGTACTAGATGGTGGTATAGGTAACATAATATTCTTTCTCTATCATAAAACGCGTGCCCCCACTGACTAATATAACATTTAAACTTTAGTATAACGCCGTTCAGATATAAAATCTAAAACCTTAAACCTTTTAATTAAAAAACTTAATCATTCAGTACTCGAAGCTAGTAAATAAGCGAAGCGGTGCGATGCGGTCTCATTTATTCATTGAACAGACTGTTTATTCATAAAACAATTTCTATTCCATAATTGATTGCATTGGACAATATTCATAGCGTTACATTTTCATGTTAATGCATCGCAGCGAGCGAAAAAGATGTGACGTGTTCACTACTGTCATCTGTTATATTCCAAACGAAACATGTTTCGACTTACCTGCTAAAGTGTAAATATTCTATGGGCCAGTGGTACTTACCCAGAAAAGGCGGCGATATAGTGCAATAGCTACTGCGCATCTCTACCACAGTAAAATATTATAATAGTTTAGCTTAAAGTCCCAAGATAAGTGTTTTCAGCGGATCAATACTGGCGGGTGTTCTCATGCTTTTTCTGCAAGCGAGTGTCACTCGAGAAATGCTGGTTGAACGACTTCCACGGTCGACCAGAACCATGAGACCTCGCAGACCTATTTGCCCCGTTTCATTCCATGTACCTTCTTCTCACGTGCAATTTCATGTTAACACCGTTTGAATATAAAATAGCGCGTGCTGTTAAACCCGGCAATCATGGATAAAACTACGTCGCTCCAGGTCTAATGGGGCAAGCAGTTTAAGTCGGAATGGCAGTAAATTGCGTACTGCTCTACAAATCTAATATTACTATATTCACCCATGACAGTTATATATATTTAATTATACTTATTTGACTACTTACCGAGACTCATTATATGTTCATTTGTATATTAGATAACGGACCATAAATCCGACGCATTCATGAGGAGTTTAGGAAGGCGAACGAATATAAAGCCGATGGGGCTTTTTGAAATCGTACAATTAATGTTACTTAAAAGACTGGACGCTGCACGAATGCGACGTCTGCCTCTCGCATAAGCTAATCTCGCAGCTGTATCCGATACAATAGCTCTTTGTTTGCGTTACAACGCCGCGGGGGGACGGCCGAGGGGGGTACGGGTACGTACTTGCAGCGTAATGCCGCTGCACTTGCCCTGGTCAGGAAGCGCGGCGGAATGCAGTCAGTCGCGTTTGTAGAGCCGCGTGGGGAGCCGGCCGAAGGGGTAAAGGGGAGGGGGGGACTGAGAGGGCATTGCTCGTTGCGCCGGCGCAACTCTGCCTGCCATTCAGTACATCTCCGGTGGGACTTTTATGCTAGCCAGTTTCATCTACCGGCTTTGTTCCGCCTCTTCTGGAATATTCCTCCGCTTTACTGTCTCGATTTGATAAGTGTAAACACACTTACTAATACCCTTTATAATTTTGCTCTACTATAATTACTGTCTCTAACTAACACTTAACATCTATTTACATAAATATCAATATTGAGATGACGGCTCACCTAGTGCGGGATAAGAACAGGTGAAATAAAGAAAGAACCACACTCATCATAGTGTTAAGCCAGCTACCAATGAGATGGAAAAAAGCCAGTCAGTTATAATCTATAAAGCAATTGTAATTTTTAGAACCATCTCAGCGTTCCGGTGAAAGGGAAGCTCTTAATAAAATGACGAAAAGTGTCCGAAATCTTTTTCGAAACTATCTGACTCGATGGACAGGCAATATGCAATCCAATACGAATGCGGGATTTGATTTATTTAATCCTTAAACCAACATCGGACAGGATGACAGGCTCAAAGCGTTACTAACGTAAGCCGTCCTCTAGCAAAGCCATCATAGTGTATCGAATGGGTCACAGGTCTCTCCCGTAGATTTTCTGTATATTGGCGCCATATAACTATCGCAGGCAGAACTGAATGCGGAAACCGTAACGCGGAGAGTGTCATACAGCCGCGTGTCGCACGCACACCGACGTCACGCGTCACGCGACGACACGGTCCCGTCAGCAATGCTCGTCCGTACCTGCCCGGAATGCAGCCGTTGTGTGCACAGCACTCGAAAGGATTACGCTAGTCGGCGGGCGATTAACCGATGCGTTCGCGGTTTGCCGTCCGCTCTTACCCTAACTCGGATGTATATACGCTTTTGGAGCGCTTCCGAACTCTAAACACTCCAATTAGGCACGCGTTCCATTTTAGATTTTACCTCCATTTGAATTGTGATTAATTAATTCCTCACGAGTATCCCGCGCTTTAAATATCGATTTCGATTTCCCGGTAATGTTTATGTTAATATAGTCTGTCTGAATCACAGTGTATTGAAATACGCTAGGAAGAATACAGAAACATTGCAATGAAATAAATAAGTTGATTTTTTGATAATATTAAGTAAATTATATTTGCTTTCACCATAGAAATAAATATGTACCAAAGCATATTTGATTTGTATATCCAACGTTACCTTACTGTGTTTTGATTGTGATTATTTGTAGTAAATACCAACATTTTCTTGTCCACAGGTACGTGCGTGTTGTTAGAGAAAGTTGAAGTAGTTTCCATTCATTTTCAATACGTGTAAGTAGCGGATTAATTTTATTTTGCTCTTTGGTTTATTGTTTTATCGCTCCCCATCCGGATTAAGTCCGCAATAGAATTCATCCTTCTAAAACGTCTTCAATGGACCCCGAAGTTTCCACGTTAATGACTCCCGCCGTAAGTACGGTCCAGGGAGGGCTCGTCCAACTTCCACGAAGCGTCAAAAACTTAGCGCAAACTGCTATTTTTCATCGTCTATAGTGAAATAACGATATAACTTTGAAATTACGTTATCACTTGTTTTAAAGGTGAGCCAGTCAGGCTCCATTACTAAGGCGCTTTCTATGGGCAGACGTTAGTGTTACATTTGAATAGTGGTGTCTCCTCGAATCGGCGTCATTATACGGGGGAGCACTGGAATGGTTTGAGCAAATAGAAAGGCTTTTAGAAGCAGCTCTACAGTTCTGGTCCCGTGCACTGAGACGCAACGGATAGCTGCTTATTTGAATATACTACCTGTCTCTCTCATCTTTTAAATTTCCAATTCGAATCGAAACGGAGTCTCATCATTCCCGAGTACTAATTTCCACCTTCTGTTATATTATGTTTGAGCACGATTCATTTTGCAGTTTTGAGCTTTGCATATTTTGTCAATGAATTTACATTTGTTCATTTCAGTTTGCGTTGCCTCTATAACTGTATTAACCATCTAAAATACATCACTAGCTAATGTTTGTTTGAATATTAATATTAATCTTAAATCACTGTCAATACGCGAGCCCTTATGATTATAATATCCAGTACAACCTATTGAAAACGAATGTCGATGCCTGTGCAGTCTCTGCCTTAATTACTCTTCTGTTTCGATACTGTCCTGTGAACCGTCAGCTTTATAAAAGGAAGTGAGCGTCGAACATACGATTCCGACGTTGCATTATTCACTACGCCGGCAATGAAATTTCGGCAGTTATTCCCCGTAGTGCCGAATTTACAGTGCTTCCGAGTTTATTCCGGCTGTAAAATATCGAGTAGTGCGTCGGGGCCGCGTCCCCAGGTGTTGGCTCAAACGGCGCAAGTTTCGCTAATGTGCGGCTTAAACGATGACAGTGTTGCGGCGCACCGCCCTGCCTGCGTTAGCAAAGTGCGGTATGCTTGGCGACACGTCTGCTCGCCCACATCGGCAGGAGTTGGTGTTTCCGTTCCGCTCAGAATGGAATTTTTATAGGATATTAATTTTTATAGCGAAATTCGCAACATAAGAGATGAAATTTTAAAAATTTCTAGAGAAAAGCCGAAAAGTTTTATGCCGTTTCGAGGTTTTCTGCATCCTCCGAGATACACGCCCGACGCTCCAGCCGCTGAGCTAGACTGTTTATATTAACACCGACGAAAATCTCAACGTATATCTATTGCGTTTTTTCTTACATTTTTTTATAATATTTTAAAACTAGAGGTTTTGTCAAAGGAAATTTTCAAAATATTTTAAAAAAAAGGACGGGTTCAAATGCTCATAGCGACGAAAAACTTTTAGTCCCTTTTTCTAAAAACTTTTAAAATAATGGAATGTTCATTTCAGTTAAACAGTTTTATGCTTTCAGAGTACATACGTCACATTGTAGATTCGATTATTTTCAATAAGTCTTCTGTATCAGGGTTAATTTCAGGAACTGATCTATAATGTGAATAAGTCATGAACTTTCAAATTAATTTTGTATTCTAAAGTAAAACTTTGGTTTTAATAACATTCACAGAATTTTAGACAAGCTTTATTAGGTAACCAGAAATTAAGCTTGATTATTTGCCGTAGAGATTGTTATTTTCTTCATTTAATACTGAAAGAGGTAATACTGAGAAAGGTGTCTCAACTAATTTCATGTGACTCAACGAAATTTTAAGAGCCATAATAATCTAATAACTCACATCATCACAGTAAAAAATCTGTATTTCTCGATAGGCGTGATAGCTCATTGTCCGGATGGACGCTTTTAATTCAATATACCTGAGGAAACTGAATTCAATCCCCGGTGCCAATGATGATCCGGTGCTCACGTGGGGTCGCGTGGTCGAGTATGCCCCAATACCCTCAGTACAGAGGATACCTTTACACAGCAGAGGGACATTTATAGGCTGTTAGTTTATATATAATGTAAATTAATAGTTAGCTAATGCTTAAACTATAATTAGTTCACCTGTAGTTTTTCGTAGTATCATCGTTATTTTCACATTTTCGCGTCCGTTGGAACGTTTTTATTTACGTTTATGCATTTGAATCAGCTATCACACTGGCTATCTTTCTGGTCCAAAATAGTACATCAGGTCACCCAACCTATCTCGATAGGCAGCCAATGAGGGTCGTCCATTAAACTTTTTTTATCAAATTACGGCACCACTTGACTGTAGGGCTACGCAGCAGTCTTCGCTGTTGCACGTCCGTCCAATGGGCAGGTCCGTCCGGGGGAGTACCGTGACGTCACAACGGACCGGCATGAAGTGGAAGTGTTATACTTCTACGTTTCATTTGGTGAGTGAGGTAGCCGAGGCCCACTTTTAAAAGGTGGCAATGCATCTGCAACCCTACGGGTGTTGCAATTCAATGGGCGGCGGTTATCACATAACATCAGATGAACCGCCAACTCGCTTGTCACCTTCTTGCTTAAAAATATCGTTTCTAGCCTTTAGTTAAATTGAAATCTTCCGAAAAAATCATCCAAACCTTCTGATATGCTTACAATATGTAATTTATCTTACTATATACTTATTAAAGAAGTACTCTTATACGAAAAATATAGATCATACGCAAAATTCGCCAATCGTCATTGGTTGTGTGGGGGTGTGGGGGTAACGTCCCCACCGAGCTGAGGCCTGGGTCCAGCTGTGGGACTTATTTGAGCCACTTTCATTACATCTCCGTTTCGAGTTTGCTCTTTTTATTTCCCTCTCCGCACAGTATGGGTTAGTAGTAGAGTGTTTCGGTCGTTGTTTAAATAGTGAACGCCGAAATTTGTATCCTTAAGTAGGGGTAATAGAGGAAGTTTGCGCGCCTTGTGTAATCGTAACCCGAGTGTAGACCGAGCAAACTTAGTTTTTATCCGATAACTTTAGAGTGCTTTACAAGTGAGCGCGGAAGGATTTATTGACAACAAAGAGTCAATGGTTCCAACCTAATAAGTTTAAAGTTTATAAGTTTTCCTACTAATAAGTCAACGTATAATTACGCCAATTTCGATTATTTTACAAGGGAATTAAACTCTCAGCGATTCAAATTCCGCCCAAATACTGTTACGGTCGTTAACTAGGACGCTATTCACTTGTTCAAATTACAATATAAAACAAAGATACCTCATAGGTGATAAATTTTTAGGTGAATTTTCAATGTATTTTTTTAACATTGAAAATACACATGTCGGAATCCGATTCGATGGTGGCGTAGTAATGAAAGTCGCGGCATGGAGCGAGCATTAATTGTCGCAGGTGTCGATTACCAGCATGACGCCACTGTTTTTATAGATGGACTATTTTACTGCTACCTTTATTACTGTACCGTGTTCGAATTGTGTACAGTTTCTGTTTTTTTTTTTTTCACCCCCCAGTACGCCCATTGTCGAAAACGGGTTTTTAATTAACGGAAAGAACTGCCATTAACCGGCATCGGTTCGGAAACGTATTGTTTTTATTTAATAGCTATATTGTTTAAAGTTATCGGGAAAACGTGAGCGTTTTCGGACGCTCAATATTTTCATAGGGCGATTGCGAATTTATTGATTTTTATATAAACATATGACCCACATTATTCAGTGCTTGTTTGTAGTAGCAGTTTATCCAGTTTGCCGGTTTCATTATTCTATCTATCTATAGATTTGGTTACCGGAGATAAAATATTGACGTAAGTATTATGGAAGTAATGTCAAATACCTAACGAAAGTTAGCAAATCTACAGATAGATAGAATATCCAAACCGAGTAGTTCTCAGATAGATTGCAAATCGCGAATTAAATATTTCAATTGTATACTTATGACAAGTCAATCTTTCTTCCTGAGTACACGTCAAAAGAAAATTTTGATCTCACAAGTTCATAATGAAAAGAAAGTTCTCAACAATTATTAGCTAACAGTGAGTAACAAAGTAACAATAGCTAGATGTTTGAACAAACAACTTAATATAAATCGCATATTCAAATTGCCTCACTCAAATAATGCCTGGCCATAAATGCAATTGGATTTGCTGAGATCGTGTGCCGTTTTTAAACTGTCCTGTCCGCAGTGAAAATCTCGTTTCGGTGATCGAGCATCGAGTTTGCGATGCAACGTACGTTCGGGGCCTTTGTGTCAGTACTTTGATTCTGTCATGGTTGCTCGTGTAAGGAACCGTTACCAGTCACAGCTAATATAGCGACATCAGCTTTGACATTTGACACAGCTTTGACAGCTTTGTAAATTTTTATCCAACGTTATAGCTGTCGGGTATATAAATTTTATCGATCTCCGTGCATCCATTGCAGCATGAAACACACACAAGCTAGCAAATTTATGAATGCTATTGTTCTAAGGGAGAGGCCTATGTTCAACAGTGGACGTCTTGCGGCTGATGATGATGATAATGACTTATCCACACTTTTAATGAGCCGATTAACTTAGATACTCAAAACTCTGCTTATTCAAGCTTGCGGGGCGCATTAAAGAAGACCTACATTTGTCTCGCTCAAACGTTTTCTGTGTAAATACAGTCAATATTCAAAATATAAGATCGGACTATAATTTAAAAACCTATGTACGAGTTGTCAAGTTTAATTATCAACAACAAAACTTAACAGCATCAAGAACTTCGTTACTTAATTTTTTTTAGGACTGATTGGCCTAAAATTAAATATCATTATCTGCTGCTCTAACTTCCATATAAAGATAGGGATAGGATACGGACGTTAGGCCGCATCAAAAATTGTGGAAGTAACCAAGACAAAGTTTTGAGACGTTGATCTTAAAATTTTCGCTTATCAAATCATTCGATTTGTTATTATAACCGTTATAAAAATATTCGATGACAAGTTTAAAAATTTATATTAAATAAGCCTTTATATACCTACCTTTTCTATTATTTCACAAACAATTAGAAACCTTTGCAAACGAATGCATAATAACTCATCAGAATATAATCTTAATACTACGTATACAGTATATAAAACGTGTATGGTATACAAAACGCGTAGGGGACAAACAGTATTCTTTTATATACAGGACACCTATGTATAGAGGTGGGCCGGTTAAAACAGTTTCCGCACATGGTGTTGTATATTGGACGGATTATCTCAGTACTGCTATTCAGAGACGTGTTCGCTGCATGCCCGTGGCCCGTACTAAATGTGTCGAGCATTCAGATGGAGATTGTGCCGTAGACGGTGGTTATTGAAGTAGGTACGCACTGGATCACCTGACACACACAAGAAACCTGCACTGAGCTTTAGAAAACGGGATTATTTATTTCATGAATAACCGAAGCGTCTGTTCGATTTTAAGGAAGCGTTCGGCATGAACGGACTTGCCTTTGGCATGTTTTGCAAGGGGGCCGCAGAATGGCGTGAAAACATGTTTATTATTTTGTGATAGTTTTATTGTATTGTCTCTTTTAATTTTGTAAAAGTAGAACTTATAAGAAGGCAAAAATTGATTCTACAGGGAAACGGATATGCTTAGATACTCTTAACAGCTACTTCTATCTGCAAAGACTATCTAATAAGTGAATAAATCGTATTATTGAAACGATCTATTTAGTTCTCGGCAGTAAACCCTTGCAATGTCTTTTAATTCAGCCGTATCTCTTATCCTTTAAACGAGCAATTCTTGTATATTTATATATATATATATATATATATATATATATATATATATATATATATATATAATCGGAATCTCGGAAACGGCTCCAGCCATTTTCATGAAATTTAGTATGTGCATAGATTCGGGGGCAAAAAATCGATCTAGCTAGGTTTCATTTTTAGAAAATGTCCTTTTATCCCTGTTTTCAGGGAATGAAAAATATAATTCGAATATGACGTTAAATTTCGCCGCAAGAGAAAATGTCATAATAGCTCGGTCGGTAATCGGGCGGCCCCAAAACAGACGGCCGTGGTTCGCGTCACGATCATTTACACATTTATTTTTTTACTTTTTTTTTCGGATCCAGATCATTGCTTTCTATATTTTTAATTTTTTGTCGATTTGTTATTT